AAATGGTTCTACATGACAAATTTTCATCATTTTTTTTTATTTTATCTTGAAAAACTAAGATACATAANAACATCGAGTATTATTTATGGGTGGTATTAGAAATGTATTTCTTACATTTATAATACCAAAGGATATTAGTACCAGTAATAAAAATTATTTCAGTCTCTTCTCATGTTTGTTTGTTAAATAGATGTTATGGTGAATCCCACAAACAACTATCTATTCTATCACATCTTATATAACAAATATCTCATTTTACCCTTAATATTATCAATTCCATTTTACCCTTAACTATCTATACAAGGAAAAAAATTATTAACACCGTACGCTTAAACATAATATAAGAAAAAAATTTAAAATAATTTTTAAAAAAAAATTAAAAAAAAAAACCGGTAATACCGTACTCTTAAATGTAATATAAGAAAAGAATTCAAAATAATTTTTTTTTAAAAGAAAACTTGTAACACCGTACTCTTAAACATAATACAAGAAAAAAAATTCAAAATAAATTTTTTATACGAAAACTCTTATCAAAGGAGAACATTTGTGTCAATTTGCATGTTTGTACCTCATTTAACCCATGAAAATAATATCACCTGATAGGTGATATTCATTAATACTATCTACAAGACATTATGTCTATTATTCATATTGGGTCGGTATTAAGATCTGAAAAAATAGTACTAACTGTAAAATCTTAAACAAGCAAGATATAAGATTGGTCCCATGTACTATCTTCCTAATCCCCACCTCCTTATACCACTCTTATCCCTAAAATAAACTAACCCTAATAGTAGAGCATGATTGGATATTGCTAGGGTTGCCGATGGGCGGTACTAAACCACATGTTTAAACCGTGCAAATCTTGTTGTATCAAAATTTTCTTAAACTATGTTTGATTCATTTATAATTATTTATAGTCAAATTCATGTCAAATATAATTTGTGTTTAGGTAGGTATAATAGAGTTTATATCATATTTAATCAACTTTGTGTCAACTCATTTATTTGACAGGCTTCAGAGGTCTATTCGTTTACTACCTGAACCTATTAAAACTAAATCTAAAATCCGTTAATTTTTATTTTGGAAGGCACATATTCTTTCTTTTACAAATTTCATGGTATACCTTGGTACTTAATCCTCTTAGTCAGCACTTTAACAGGCACACTGTTGGGGAGTTTGCTTTCATTTTCATGCATTTTTATGCTGTGTAAACATTAATAAAATGAGTCCACTTTTGCTTTATTCCTTTCGTATTCATTAAACCAGGAACCAAAGTGAAGTATTTGAACATGATATTATAATAGTGCAAATGGTTCTACATGACAAATTTTCATCATTTTTTTTATTTTATCTTGAAAAACTAAGATACATAATAAAATTTAAAAGTCAGAATNACAAAGTGAAGTATTTGAACATGATATTATAATAGTGCAAATGGTTCTACATGACAAATTTTCATCATTTTTTTTTATTTTATCTTGAAAAACTAAGATACATAATAAAATTTAAAAGTCAGAATAAGGCTAAACGGAGCTTACCTTTAAGAGAATTTCAATACAGAATTAGCAGGCAAATTAAATACCAATTTTATTTTTAAAAATTTCAGTAGTTTAAAAAAACTCTTCAAACAAAAACCAAAATTTTCATCCTGATGCCAAATAATCCACAAAATTTATCCGAAATTCGTCCTGATATTAAATAGAACCAACTTGGAAGGCACATTCTAAATGGTAATGCTTATCCTCTAAGCAGCATCTGATTTGTTCTTTTCTTGTGAAAATTGCTTCTTCATGACTAAGCAATGTTTTAAGGGAACTCAAAAAAGTTTAGCATTAAACTTTTAACATAAGCAATCACTTGTGAAACACATTGTGGCCTTAGATGGTATTTATGAATAAATCAAAATAGATTTCCAAAGTGCCCTTATAAGGGGAACCAAAGTTTAATGTGAAACTCTCCACGGAAGCAACCTCCAATTATCCTCTCGCGAGGCACGTGTTTTTATGAAATTAGTGAATAACTAATGTTGTTGGACTTAATTCGGGAGCCTAACATATAATTATCATCAGATTAACAGTGGGTTTCAATTGGGATGAGGTCATTGGATGACAATGAAAGAGATATTCGAACATGTGTTGTAGTTTTTGCTTCCTAATGCTTGCTTCAAGCCCAAGTTTGCACATTCGCTACAACTTGCACATATGTCTAATTATAATCCTTATCTTTGAACTGCATAATTAATTATTGCCAAAACCTATTAAAGTGAAAGATATCATACTAATCTATAGCTTTTAAGCTTTGATGTGCTCAGGCTCTACCCGAGTTGGCTAGCTATCACAGCTTCGAACGTAACTTTTGAGCTTGGGTTTTTATCCAGACGTCGTTTGGTGTCAAAATCATATGTTCAGACTAGACTTGGCTCATTTTTGTACTAGAGCTCAAATTTGAGCCCAGGTTCTAGTAAATCTAAAAATCATATCTCCAACTTGGTTAAGACCCACAATCTCTTAATTAGACATTACATGATTAATCAATTTGAATAACAATATGACTTTTCCCGGGAGAGTCGAGTGTTTAATAACAATTTATGGTATCTCCCAGGAGCATTGAGTGCTTAAACGAATTATGTGACTTAGTTGTTACTCAAATGCACATGATGCTTTTTAGTTGTTACTCAATGCACATGATCCTTTTGGTAGTGGAAGAATACATTANAACCCATTGGGATAGCCCAATCCAGGCTAGAAAGCTGGGCAATCAGCTGGCCCACCAAAGGTCTGTGAAATTTGAAAGATCGATCGATTTTCACCTATTATATATGCTCACCCGCCAATATAATTGTTTATTTCAATCAAATTTTCATGTTGCATAATGTGAATTAATTAGTTTAAAACAACAAATATCTATTTTAAATAATAAGATAAAAATCCAATTAGGATTTGATTTAGCCCATCAAGGGCAGCCCACTGGCGAGCCAGCTAAAAGCCTCATCAAGGTTGGGCAACTAGAGGTGACAAATTGGTAAATTAAATTAGTTATGAGTTGAGTTAAATTAGTTCAAGTTAAAATAAATTCAATTTATTTTTCACTCATGTAGTAAATAAGTTATAATGAGTTAGATTTATAACGGGTTAGGTTAAACCCATTAACCCGTAAAATAATTAAAATTTTTAATAGATACATTAGTATACCAACACACACACACACACATTAGTAANGAGGCTTGGGATTTTTGAAACTTGACTTTAGTGGTGGTTGAAGATCGAGGAAAAACACAGTTACATCAAGGTAAGGCCTCCCCAATTTTCTTGAGCGAGAAAATCGAAGTTTTTATGAGTGATACATACAAGGGTAAGTAGGATAGTGCAAAAATACAAACTGGGAGAAGTGCCACCAAGTATGAGGCGACCATGGTCCAGTGTTCGTTATTGTGAATCATTAGGAGAACTGTAGCTGCAAATGCCAACATCATAAATGACACTGAACATATCAATAGGGTAACTCCTAGCATGAGTTTTTGAGGAAGTGACTGCTTGAAGTCCATTAGCTGAAACGATGATGTTAGGATTGAGAGGAATGCAATCAGTGAGGTCAATGCTATTGTGAGAGAAAGCACGTCTGCTATTGTGAAGATGACAAAGAAAGGTTGGTTGAGAAGAAGTGGATAACCCGTAGTTTGATCTGGGCCTCCGGGTATGGTGTACGCGGCAGCAAAGGCAACGGTGGCAATGAGCACAACAACAATGGAGCAATTTTCAGCAGTGCGCTTTAGCCATTCTTTGGCGTCTGTGCATAGTTTAGCATTGGCTTCCCTAAATAACTCGACAGCTCTCTGCCCTTTAGAGTTGAAATGCTTAACAGAATATCTTTGACAGATTTTCTCCACACGCTGCAAGTGCACAGAATCACACAAAGAAGACAATATTGGAATGCACAAGAAATGTAACAGTAGTAGAAGTCCACCTCAAACAAGTGCAGTTCTTCTTGCAATATCAGAGCAGGGCTTCGCATATCAGCCTCATGATCTTGTGATCTTTTGCCAACACAGTGTAGTATAGAGTTCCCATTGTTGTCAATCTTTCGTGTCAACCTCCTCATTGGAATTTCCATTTTTTCTACCAAATCAAAGACTTGCATTTGGCGATACTTGATTGCTCTATGTAAAATATTTTGACCATTGTGATCAACATGATCTACTGCCTGTGGATACATTGTAAGTATTTCTTCAACAATCTCCATAATGCCTGACTTTGTTGCCAATAGCAATGGAGTTTCTGCAAATTTTTGATGAACAGTTTGATCTGTACTTGTTGCGGCTTTCTTTCCCTTCCCTACCCCTCGGTCTTGGGAATTCTTGGAGGAATATTTGTGAATCTTAGGCTTAATCGAGTCTAATGCAGATTCAGTTTCCTCCCACGAGGTATCTCTCTCTATCAAGAACTTGGCAATTTTCACAGCTTCCTCGTATATGCGGTGCTGCTTTTGGATTGATTCCCAAAGGGGCACTGCACAACATCTTTGAGCTTTTGGAGAAAAAAAGGTTAGATATACTTGTTTTCCAAAAAAGTTAGAACTTAATTAGAATTGTCGGATAAATAAATTAAACTAATAGGACTGTAGGAAAAACATGTTATCATTTTTTTTTT